GGATTTCTAATCTGGAGGGAAAAAACAGGCAGGCAATCCCCCAAACTTTTCAAGAACCTCCCCCAATTAACCTTTGGCACTATAAATTGCCTCTTACCTAAGACAGCCCAAGAAAATACAAAAGCTGGATAACTGCAGAACTTATTCTTTTAAAAAAAACAGGGGGGGAAAGTGAGCACTGCCTCTAATCTTCAGAAAAAAGAAATTTACAGTAAGTAAAAATGTATGCTTTTCCCTTCAGATTAGAGGCAGTGCTTTACAACAGGGATAATCAAAGCAATCCCCTAAGGGCGGGACTCATTTTACAACTGCATGTAACACCTTGCACCCAAGGTTGCGTCTTTCAAGGCCAATAGGCCTACTTGCAATGTTTAGCAAATGTGTGAAGAGATCACCACGCAGCTGTAGAAAATTTATGAAAAGGTATAGCTGAAGCCCTTATGCGCAAGATGTGAACAAAGAGATAGGTGTTAGAGAAAAAAAAAAAAAAAAGTCTAACGAATGCAGACTTTTAACCCTCTGGCCAGATCCTGTAGAAGCCATAAAACAAGACAAAAGTCTGTTAGATTTCCTAATTGACTTAGTACTTTTTAGGTACTGCAGCAGAGAACTCTTAATATCCAGGCAGTGGAATTCAAATTCTAAAGCCTTAGAAAGCTGTTGGCCAAAGCTGGTAATGATAGATGGTAGATTGGGAATAAAAGGATTCAACTTTAACACCACTTTGTCTTGATTTGAAGAAAAAAAAAAAAAATAATGGAAAAAACTGAAGACCTTTAAGTTCTCCCAAAAGAGGTAATTGCTCCCAAAAACCTTGAGCGAAGACTCAAGATCAGCAGAGCTGAAAAACCCAAAATAAGACCCCATGGAGGAAAATATTTCCCAGATGGTAGGAACCAAACAAGACAAAGCCTTGAAAATTCTGGTGATTTAAGAATACAGTCAAACAGTTGAATGAAAAGAACAGATAGCCGAAAATTGGACCTTGAGGATAGCCGGATTCAATTCTTTCACAAAGCCCATCAGAAAGAATTTAAGGATGTTAAAAAACGGAAGCGGTTGCCGGATTTTGTTTGAACTAATACATCAAAAACAAAACTTCTTCCATAACTGGAATAAATCTTGGACCAAGATTTTTTTTTCAGCATATATCAAAATCTCAATTCATGACACAAAACCTTATCCTTCAATATCTCGTATTCAGAAACCAGGTCGTCAGTTTGAATTTCTACAAAGTTGGAAGAGGTACCATGGAGTGTTCCGGGATGTCTACTGACAGGGGAAGTTTCCAAAAGATTAATCTGGTTAAATTTAGATGAACGGTGAACCAACTTCTCAGCCACCAAGGAAGGATTACGATTATTCTTACCTTTTCCATCCTGTAGAATCCTGGGGATTAGAGAAATAGGAGGAAACTTAAAGGCTAGGCTGTAATTCCATAGAAAGAAAGGAAATATACAACCTCTGGTCTGTCTAAGCGGTCCAAAGATGAAAAACCTCATGTTTGATCTAGAAGCCATCAGGTCTATATCTGGATAACCGAATTGCCTTGCTATTTGACCGAAGATCTGAGAGAAAAGAATCAATCTGCTTGTATTAAATGTTGACGACTCAGGGCGTCTGCTAAAATGTTTTATACTACTTTTATGCATATAATTGGACAGAAGGAAAACTCTGACCACAGCATATACTGGAACAAAGATTTTTTTTCCAAACAAGATGACCTTGTTCCTCCTTGTTTGTACATATACGCTAGTTGTAGAATTGTCCGACCAGATCTGGACATGTTGATTCCTGTTCTGTTTCTGAAAGGCAACGAGAGCCAGCCAGACAGCCTTCAGTTCTATTTAGTTGGATAAACGTCTCAATAATTCCCAGCCAAATTCCTTGTTTCTTCATTTCACCCATATGAGAACCCCAGTCGAGACCAGAGGCACCAGTCGTAAAATTCTGAACGACATCATCTAGAAAGAATAAAACCTGACTGCAATAAACGGAACGAGGTAAACCAGAAAAAAAAAAAATCTTCAGATCGTGAATGTTGAGTTTCATAGGTATGTCCAAGCTGTACGTTTGCTTGTTCCAGAAGCTTAAAGGGCTTCTTTGGAGAGGTCTCCTCTGGCCTTTGCCAAATTGACCGCTGGGATAGAGGCTGCTGCAATAACTACCAGAATCTTAGAAAACACTCTTGGTGCTGAGGAAAGACCAAAGGAAAAGCTCTAAACTGATAATGCAGAGTCTGTAACTGGAAGTTGATTGCGAAGCTTAGGAATCTTTTGCTGGGTTCTGATTTAAACCTAATTTCACCTTATGGTAAGAAACGACTGGTCTCCCATCCAGAAACAAACCAGGGACAAGCCTGCTTAGCTTTTAAAACTATCCATTAAGCCAATTCAGACTACAGTAGCTGGAGTTACAGACATTGTTTCCAAATGAAAACTTGTTGATTGTCTTGAGATCTAGAATGGAACTGTAAGAACCGTCTGGCATCCTTAATTGCTGCCTGGTTCAAATGGAATAACAGAATTTTTGGATTTACCTGCAATATCTTTTCAAACTCTTCCAGCAAATGTTTGTGCCTTTGCCACTGAAGAACCTGTAATCAGTGCTATGCAGAGATGAAGAGACCAAAAAAAAAAAATTATTTAAAGCAGAATCAAAACGATTTTCCATAGCATCTCGTCTATTGAAAGATGATTTAACCCCTTAAGGACACGACAAATATTCTGTCATGATTCCCTTTTATTCCAGAAGTTGTGTCCTTAAGGGGTTAAAGTGTTAAGAAATGAAAAAGCTTCCCTCCTGGGAATTACCATTCCCTGAGAATCAAAACCTTCAATGTGGATGCAAAGGGAAAAGCTTGGATTTCTTTCTTTGCTCCTGAACTGTTCCTTATCAAGCAACCAAAACTGCACTCCTCTGGTAAAGGAAATTCTTCATTAGAAGATTCACTAGAATCCTTGTTTAGGCTGTTGACAAAGCACCATAACCTTTACAGGCAGGTGTACAAAAAACAATTAGGTGCCCGTTAGGCAGCAATATTGTAGTAAATCAACAAATTTATAGGATGGGAACATTCTGCATAGTGAGAGAAACGCAAGTAGCAATTGCCATTTAAGCTCTTTCTTTAAAAAGAAAACGGCAAAACAAACTTAGGCAGTAACAATAAACCATTTCATCCCGTATCTGTGGCAGTGCAGGGTACAAAATGAATATGGTGGATATGTCCCACGATCAAGAGGCCTGCAACCGTACCAGACATCAAAGTCAAGCCCAGTAACATGAGGAAAAAAAATTTCCATGGAGGCTAGTACATACAGGTTTCCATTTTTACTGGCCGAAGAGAGAGTCTGTTCACATATATATATACAGATCCCGCGTAAGGCAACACCCATAAATTAGGCTTTTTCTTAGCCTTATTAGGGAAGCAGAAGCTTGAGCAGACTGAATGGCTGCAGACTGCATATCAAACATGTTTGATGCAAACTTTGGAGGAATCAACGTTAGGAAAGCATTTCCTTTATATTTGCCATTCCACAACTAGTTTAGCACATTCAAAACAAAATATATTACTGATATAATTATAGGACTTCGATTTAAAAAAGGATGAAAACATAAAATGTGCAACCCTGGAGTTAAGCACAGGAAAAGTTCTGCCCCAGCAGAAAACAGACTACACCTGTAAGAAACTGAGATCAGGTCAAACAAGTTGAAGTGGTGATAAGGCTAATTGCAACAGAGTTTCAGAGATTTGACTACAGTGTTCACTAAAAGCCTACTGCTTCTCTAAGAAACATTCACTGCGCTGTGATGGCATTTAATGGATCCATCTGCTACAAAAGTATCTATCTGAATACAATAACAATTTTTTAAATTATCAGCCTCCATAAGGATTTCATCCAGCGGTTAATCCTCCAATTGCCATATGGGTCTTGCTGCCTGTGAAGGATTGGTAATATTTTCCACAGGAACACTTTACTTTGTTTATATCTCTGACTCTGTTGCATCATAGTGATTATTGAAACGCATCCTCACTTATTTTAACTGTGTTAACAGCTATTTAGAGTAATAGCTAGGAATACTTGTTTTTTAAATTTTATACAATTTATGTTCATTGGCATATGCCGAATATAAATATATATTTATACAATTAGCAATTTTGTGTAAAGCCTACATGTCTATGCACACTTCCCCAGGGCGGTGCAAGAGATAGATATATGTATATTTAGAGGTGTGTGTGTGTGTGTGTGTGTGTATATATATATATATGTGTATATATATATATATGTGTATATATATATACACATATATATGCATATATACATATATACACACACACATACATATATTATATATATATATATATATATATACACACACACACACACACATATATATACACACACACACACACACACACACCTCTAAATATACATATATCTATCTCTTGCACCGCCCTGGGGAAGTGTGCATAGACATGTAGGCTTTACACAAAATTGCTAATATATCAGAATAAGAACCCACTAGAATCTATTATGGGACCGATCTACTAAGTGCTTACACTTTCAATGCACTATTTGTTTTAAGAATTTAGGAATAATCTTTTATGTGTTAAGCAGCTAATAACTTATAGTTTTACCATTATTCTTAGAATTATCTGCGCTTTTTTGTTTAACCATTTGCCGTCTTAGGTAAGAGGCAATTTATAGTGCCAAAGGTTAATTGGGGGGAGGTTCTTGAAAAATTTGGGGGATTGCCTGCGTTTTTTCCCTCCAGATTAGAAATCCCTGTTGTGAAAACACTGCCTCTAATCTGAAGGGAAAAATTTAAGACCATTTAACAATGATTTCTAATGTCTATTTAATTTTGTTTTCTTTCAGAGATATGAGCATCTCCTGGACCCTCCTTCCTTCTCTATCCTCTTCATGCATTTTTGCTCTGTTCTTGGTTTCTTTTTCTTCCCTTTTGTAGGTATGAATATGAAACTTTATTCAATGGCTCGTGTATTTGTTTCTGCAACTGGTATCTATGTATGCTTTACCATCTTCCTAAATAAAGTCTTAATAGATAGAAGAAAATAAAGCAACCACTGAATATGAAACCAATTTAATTGAGATACTGTTATTGTACATTCAGTTGTTACTGTTAATCTAGACATAAAAAACCAAAAAAATAAACTCCATACACACTTAGAAAATAGCCAAATTAAAAAAAAAAATTATATATACGAGTCCCTTGCAAGCTGTTGGAAAAAAATGTTTTATAATTTCCCAAAACACATTTTACTATCAATACATGTTAACACATACACCAGGTATTAAAATCTAAAATAAATTTGATTATTCTTGTATTGCATTGGAGCAAACATTCATTAATGTAAAAGGGAGGTTTCAAGACAGTGAATTTTTACAGTGCTCATGTGTAACAAGCCAAAGATGCTATCTTCATATGGAGAAATCCCTAATCGTTTAGGCTTACAGCTCAAATCTAATGCAGATTTTGTACAAAAGGTAAAAAACATACCAATAGTTACTATGTGCATTGTAAAGGATGCAAAAAAAATAATTATATAATCAGGAGCTAGTCTATTCAAAAACCAAAAAAAAAAAAACCCTCACTGTTAGGTAGATAAATAGTTTCCAAATTTGACAAACTCAAGACACACTGCAAACATGAATGAACTCGGAAAAAGACTGGGATACTCAAACGTGAAAGAACAACTGTTTAAATGGACAAATGACACGTAGGTTGTGTTTGGGAAGTTCCTATGAAGTAAATTGTCAACTGCAAAAGGACTGCAAACTGGTGCTTACAACTGTGTGTGTGCAACCAAAAAGTAGGGGGACAAAATTTACTGGTTTAAAATAAATCAAATATACTCAAAATCTATTAGGAGCCTTAAACAGGAATCAGCTCATTCATATGATCGTAAAGGTTTTGCCTCCATTCTTGCATTTTACAAAAAAAAAAAATTATAAAAATAAATGCACCATACTTCTAGATCAAAAGGAAAAAACACCATTCCCTAGGTAGCTGTCACCATAGTTCTAGATGAAGAACTACAGCCATGTGCAGTCCCAAATGCAGAAGAAACTATCCAGATTTAAATATTGTCAGGAATATTAAGGAGCATTCCACTGCTTTTAAATATGTAGCCATGTTAGAACTAAATGGCCAGATACTTGAACAGCTATTTGGTAAACAAAATCTCCTTTTTACAACATAATTTGAAATGACCCAGGGTACATTGAAATGCATATAAAGGATCCGTCTGACAAGTTGCTTTGCAATCCAAACGTACAATAGCCGGTAAAACAAAAAGTAGAAAACAAATAGCAAATGTAAAAAGAGTGCTTAAAACTAAAGGATGAAGCTTCTCCACAAACAGGTGTCTTTTACAGTTTTCTTATTGCATCATCGACGTCAGATATCTGCTCCTTCAGCTGGTTCCATTGCTCAGGATTTAAAGATATACCTATAATACATTTAAAAAAAAAAAAATGCTATAAATATTTTATTGCCAGCAGTCTCAAATGCATGAATAGTTGGGACAGACTGCTTGCAGCAGCCATTCTGCCTCTTATTAGATCAGCAAATGCTATGCCAATCCAATGCTTCTCTATGACATGCATTAGTAGTATTCAAAATCATTATATGTGCATAATGAAACCTTTTTTGCCTATATATCATATGCCTGTAGTCTCACTTTTCAATTTTCTGCCGCTTAGGAGTTAAATCACTTTTTGTTTCTGTTTAAACAGAACTTTTTAATGCAGCACCATTTTAGCACTGAACGAACAACCAACATATGAAAACTTTTTCTTTCAGGCTTTTAATGCATACGAGACAAACAAAAATAAAATGTAAATAGTAAAATAAAATGTGGGATATTATAGAACATGACTGAATTGTTAACCTCACTGAAAATGGAAAAACTATATATTTTTACCAATACTGTAACATTACTAAGATTAAAATTTACTTGCTTATCTCAGCAGCAAATTGGGGACTGCTAGCATACAGAAATACTACTAAACCAAGACTGCAAAGGTTATGCAGCACATAGAAAGACCCACACCTAACTCAAGTTTGACAGCTTTATGAAAGAGAGTTAAACTGCTTGTGTCCCAAGCTGCTGCTTAATCTCTGATGCGCCTGGGAGTCAATCCCTTTGCACTTCCAAGGATAGGACTTTGAGGACCATCAGTGCATTTCTAAAGAGTGTATTGAGATGGCTAAAACACTTACCATGTTTGAATCACCACCCTTGGATAAATGGGGAGTGGGGATTTTGGCCCTGGTTTTAGAAACTTATGTCTGACTCACATCTAAGGCTCATTCATTATTCATTCTTTTTGTTTTTTGCAGTGGGAAAGAGGGGTGCTCAAACAAACTAGATCATTGACAAATCCCTAGCAGATACAATACAATATTAAGGCTCAATATGGACCAATTTCTTCCTACATAATTGTTGACAACGGTTTTCCATTGGATGATGAAAATACATTCAGAAGGTGAAAAATCATGAAACATGTCAGACAGGGATACATTTATATTCAGCCCATTACCTTTCTTGCCTGGCTTCATCTCCCCATCTTGGTTCATCCAATATTCTCTGATGTCAATCAGGACTTTTCCTTTAAAGTCTCTAACATTGACGTACCTCATTTTTCCAATCTATTGGTAAAAAGGCAAAACAAATTAGCATTAACAATTAAACACACTCAAAGCACCATAACCACTTTGAAGAGGTTATAATGCCAGGATTACCTCAAACCATCCCAAGGTAAGTAGTCAAACCATTTAAATATATTTTAAGCTTGGGTCCTGCTTCATAAAGCAGAGATGTAATTTCAGCATTATCAGTTCAGCTACAGAACTAGTCAATTAATAAATAGTATTTCATCTGTATATTGTGCAAGCCAAATTGTTTGAAAATACATAGATGCATAGAAGCCATTCCCTAGTTGGGTAGGAAGAGACTAACAGTTCTGCATTAAATGGGTACTCTAAACACCATAACCTCAAACTAATTATAGTGGTTACGGTGTAATCAATCTTTGGAAGATGTACCAGCATTATTAATATACCACAGTTCAAGGTTGGACAGTTATGAACTGAAATACAGAGGCTAGTTACGTAAGGTGCCAGGAGAACTCTGTGCAGTAGTAGGTGGAAAATACTTTCCAGAATGATGAATAGCTTGTCTAAAACTAAAGCCCTGAAGTAAAAGTGAGATTTAAGTCTTACCTGGAACATGTTATCATCTCTGTTGCTACTACTTTGCTTGGATGATGCAGCTCCTTTGGAACTTTCTCCTGTTTTTTGTTTCTTCGCAGGCTTTTCTTTCTCTGGAGGAGGCTGGCTTTTTCTTTTAGGCTGTATATAAGAAAGATACATGAAGCCTTTAATAATCAATTAGTTAAGCAGTTTTGTCCTCTTAACAGAATATGCTTAGTGCACTGTGATTGAAGGGGCACTTTAAGTCTACTGTAGTGGTTATGACATCAGCATGTCCCCTTTTGTTTTCACCCAGTTATGTGTCAAATCATCTTTAAAAAAAAAAAAAAGAAAGAAAGAAAACTGATAGCCCCACACCCTGGCTCCTCAATGTGTGCACCTTTAATGAAAAGTTACATTTGTGTGCCATTTTCTCCAAGTCTGGATAGCATTGGTTCATCCATCAGTAAGATGCATGCTCACTGCAAATATGGATGGAAGGATATTCCTAATGTGGAATTGTAATGTCTGAAAAGCTACATGAACAGCAAGACAAAGACTCTGGCACCCAGGGTAACCCTGGTTTCTGCCAAGCTGTTAAGTATCATGCTAGCATCAAAATTAGTACAATATGCTATAATAGTTATTGTGCCACTGCCCAAATACATTAATTGTTGGAGTAGAGGTTGTATCCATATTTGTGCAGTAATGCAAATAAAACAGATATTAGTATATTGTAATGAAAACAAATTTTATTGAACAGAATTTTAAAATCATGTTAGCCCAATATTAAAAAAAAAAAAATGCTTCTACGACCCATGCTCTATCTAAAGAGCATTGAGTAAATCAAGGAATTAAAAATGCCTCATCCATATAAATGCTCAATTATGATCTAATTTTACGCAGAAAATATCTGCTGACTTGGATTGGTGGTAGAGCTGTATTACTTCTTGCACTGACAGTGTTGCTGAAAGGTAATTTAATGATCTTCAACTGTGTGCATGGGAAAAGAAAAAACATTGTTTCATACAACAGATCTGTGAAAGGAACATGTTCTTCAAGCAGTGTGCACTTTTACTGATTAGTCATGTCAATAAATATGTTTCAATTCCCACACCCCACAACTTAAATTTCTCCACACCCCATTTTTATTACTGTAAAACAAAACTTCTGAACAAATTATACTGGTCCAATTATTTAAAATATGATCAGATATCCCCTAAAGTAAAGACCAAGGAATGCATCTGAAATATTGACATACAAGTTTTATTTTTACATGTAGGGCTTGTGCTTAAATTAAACTTGAAGCGTTACTAGAACACTAGTAAGGGCTACCACAAAATGCCATTACAGATTTTAAATGATTTGCACGTCAGCCTTCAGACAGAGGGAAAAAATAAATTCCATTCACTTTATTATCTCCCATCTCAACTAATGTCATGCTATTTTATTTGGTTACTCCAAGCAAACATGGTAAACGGTAAAAATGGGAATGGTTATGCCCCAAATCACTAATGCTCTTATTAAAGGGACACTATAGTCACCTGAACAACTTCAGCTTAATGAGGTTGTTCAGGTGAGAATTATAGCTCCCTGCAGCCTCTCTCATATAAACACTGTATTTTCTGAGAAAATTTACATTGAAAGCTAGGAACACCTCCAGTTGCAGTCACTCAGAGTGAACCAGAGGGACTTCTGAGGTGATGGAGGCATAATATGCCTCCATCCACTCACATCTGCTGTGCACAAGCATCCTGTGATTCAGTATCTCCTCCCACTGCATGCAGACACTGAACTTTCCTCATAGAGATTCATTGATTCAATTCATCTCTATGAGGAGATGCTGATTGGCCAGGGCTGTGTTTGAATCATGCTGGCTATGCCCCTGATCTGCCTCTTTGTCAGTCTCAGCCAATCCTATGGGGAAGAACAGTGATTGGATCAGGCTATCACATGTCAGCAGACTGCTTGTTTTTCCTGAGTCTAACAGAATGCAGATTTACAGCTTCTGGCTTGAATACAGTAAGATTTTTACTATATTTATGGAGGCATGAGGGGACCAAAGGGGCTAGATGGTCGTGTTAACACTATAGGGTCAGGAATACATGTAGTTGCACTGGTGACTAAAAGTGTCCCTTTAAGTAGCATGCACTTAAATCTACATTTTGTGCTAGCAAATGTATAGATTAAAAAAAAAATAAATAAAAAAAAAAAAATTAAAAAAAAAAGTATTTCTTCCACTTCTCAGTCAAATCTTTGGCACAGACTCTATTCTGACAAGGGAGAGGGTGAAAAAAAAACCCACAGGTGTTCCTTCTACTATATCACATGGCAACCACAGAACATGCACTTTATTTGGTATGGAAACTTCCTGGCTGATATTGCTAGTGCTCGCTAAGGAGTATAGGAACACCAGGATGTCACTGAAAAGCATCCTCGAGCAGAGCAAATCACAGAAGACAGCAAGAGGAGCCAAGAACAGACAGGAGGTGGGTGTTACATGAAGAGTACCACCAACGAAGCACAGTAGATGCTCTTCTGGAATCAGAGGCGAAGTCAGTATATCTTGATATTTTACACTGAAAACATCATGTATCTTTATGATATATTTTATGTGTTTGAGGGCATATGGCAGTCCTAGACCATTAGCCAGGCTTTAAAGGATCACTATTGTGTCAGGAAAACAAAGCGGCTTTCCTGACACTATAATGACCTGAGGGTGCCCCCACCCTCAGGGTCCCCCTCCCGTAGCACTGAAGGGGTTAAAACCCCTTCAGCAGCTTACCTTTATCCAGCGTCGGGCACCCTCGGGACTGGTGACCTCTCCTCCCCGTCCGACGTCAGCCCCCTAGTGGAGCGGAATGCGCATGAGTGGCAAGTGCCGCGCGCGCATTCAAAGAGTCCATAGGAAAGCATTTCTCAATTCGCATCCAGCGTCACAGATGCGCCCCTAGTGGCTGTCCAGATGACACTAGAGCAAGGCTGGCCAACCTGTGGCCCCCCAGATGTTGCTGAACTACATGGATCATGGGAGTTGGAGTTAAGCAACATCTGGGGGGCCGCAGGTTGGACAGCCCTGCACTAGAGGCTGGATTAACCCCAAATGTAAACATAGCAGTTTCTCTGAAACTGCTATGTTTGCATCTGAAGGGTTAAAACCTGAGCTGAAGTGGTCTGGGTGACTATAGTGTCCCTTAAAAAAAAAAAAAAAAAAAAATAATAAGTACTTGCCATTGCAAGCCTGGAGAGTCCATATCACTCTTAGCAGGGGTAAATTTCTACTCGCCACAACTACATTTTCACTCACCAACTGCTGGTGGAAATCTTGAGCCCTGAAACATATCTCCCTACAAGAGCATCTCTGAAACATAGTAACAATGGACCCAATAATCGATCAATACAGTCTACCTATCATATTGTGTCCTTCATGTAACAACAGTTTGTCTCAAGAATATAAGCTGGAATTTGGTCCCTCCAGCATTTGTATGAATTTGTCAAATTCAGTGTAGTCTCATTTATTGTATTTAAACACGAAAATATATATATAGTAACATTTACTAGATTTTTTATTTTTTTTTACACAGTTGTGAGACATTTACTATGATGTTGCTTTTAAATCTAACCTTTTGGTCAACTTCACTATCGGAATCACTTCCAGATGCACTTGAAGAAACCAGCTCCTTTGACTTCGGCATTCTATTAGATAAAACAAAGAAGTTGAAGATTAATGCAAGCACAAGTACCTGAATTAAAAAATATATATATTTAAAAAGCTTAACGGGCTCTCTTAGCATTAGAATATATTACAAACCAGTGAATAATTATGGACCTGGGCTGGGATGGAAGGGGGGGTAATAGCTACTGTACTGAGCTGTAGTAGTTATGATTTGTCTTTTTTTTTTTAACAACATTGTTATACAATATTCAATACACAGTAGTAAAAAAAATGACATCAAAATTACTGACAGAACTAAATGTAGTACATTATAGAAAATTGAGTTTTGGCAGGTTGATGGATTTGAAGCCTACTAGCACAGAAAGTGACTGAAGTGGACACAATGTATCAAATGCAGAAGTAGGTAGTTTACAAGACCAGGAATAGGATGATGCACAGCATGACCCAACTTCACTAAGGGATATGACTTAAATGTGGACCTTTCCTGTTATCTGCCCTCCACTATTTGTACTATTTATAGGATTAGTATAATAATCATGTAAGGCTAAATTAGTTCCTAATCCTAATTTTCTTTGAAATGTTAACTGTTTTAAAACCATTTAACCGTTAGGTTCACTCTTATTATAACCTTAAGCAATGAAAGAAATAATTGAGGGCAGATAAGAGGACATTTAGGGTTAATGTGATGTTTAAATTAGGGTTTGGAACTAATTTAGCCTTACTCTATTATTGTAACCCCAAAACTAGTAGAAATAGTGGAGGGTAGTTAAGAGGAAAAAACCCTAGAAATAAATGGACGGCAGATAACAGGAAAGGTCATTAAGGGAACACTATAGGGTCAGGAACACAAACATGTATTCCTGACCATATCATGTTACAACCACCATCCAGCCACTCCACCCCCTAAATATAGTAAAATCTTACTTGTATTCAAGTCTGCTGCAGCTGCTGCCTCTGCCCCTAACCTACTTACAGCTGATATCATCAAAAGTGATTCTGTGAGCCAATTACAAGACTTTCCCATAGGATTGGCGGAGACTGTCAAGGAGGCAGATCAGGGGCAGGGGCAGAGCCAGCACAAGTCAAACACAGCCCTTGCCAATAAGCATCTCTATGAGAAAGGCTCAGTGTCTGCATGCATAGGATGGCAACAATGAATGGCTGCACTGCCCCCAGGATGCACCTCTAATAGCCATCTGAGGAGTAACCAATGGAGTTATCACTAGGCTGTATTGTAAACACTGCATTTTCTCTGAAAAGACGGTGTTTATTGCAAAAAGCCCGAAGGGAAGGATTCTACCCACCAAAACAAATACCATGAGCTGTAGTTGTTTTGGCGACAAGAGTACCTTTAAAATGTAGTGTCCCCCAGATTAAATTTAAACATAAAGCACAGTAAATTGGCATGGTTTACATTGATTCTTTTATTCATATCTAGAATTTGATTTTGATTATATAATATCTGATTCACAGCAATCCATTTCAATGTGGACATGAGAGGAACAAAAGAAACAAGCATCTGGCAAACGAGAACAAGAGGGAGCACAATGGAAAAAGTGAACACAAGAGATAGTGCAACAAAAAACAAAGGGTTACTCCAACCACTATGACCATTCAATATTTTAAAGTGATCATGGTTCACAAAGCCTGTATGTGCAGCATATAAAACACTGTACATACATAGATAGATATTTTATATTCCTGCCATAGTTGTTCCAGGCTGGCCTACATTACTTATGTTCACTCACTAGCAGACAGCACCCAAGTGAAGCACAAAGCCAATAAATGAACTGCAGGATTGGCAACCAGACAACATTAGAGGAAGTTCACTTCCCAACTAGACTTAAGTAAGAGGCCATTGTACTTTTGGCATCATAACCACTATATCAGGCAACAGTGGTTATGATGCTCTAAATAATCATTAAAGGGACACTATAGTCACCAGAACAACTACAGCATATTGAATTTGTTCTGGGGAGTAGAATCATTACCTTCAGGCTTTTTGCTGTAAACACTGTCTTTTCAGAGAAAATGCAGTGTTTACATTACAGCCTAGTGATAACGTCACTGGCCCTACTCAGATGGCTGTTAGAGATCCTTCCTGGGTCATGGCTGCCTAAAATGCAAATATTCAGCGTCTCCTCCCTCTGCATGCAGACACTGAACTTTCCTCATAGAGATTCATTGATTCAATTCATCTCTATGAGAAGATGCTGATTGGCCAGGGCTGTGTTTGAATCTTGCTGGCTCTGCCCCTGATCTGCCTCTTTGTCAGTCTCAGCCAATTGTATAGTGAAGCATATTGATTGGATCAAGCCACCACTTCTGATGATGTCAGCAGACTGCTTGTTTTCTGAGGCAAACAGCATGTAGAGCTACAGCTTCAGGCTTGAATACAGTAAGATTTTGCTATAGTTATGGAGACATGAGTGGCCCAGGGTGGCTAGATGGTGGTTTTAACTCTATAGGGTCAGGAATACGTTTGTATAGTGATCCTTTAAGGGGGACTCCAACCACCATGACAGTGATTTGAAGTGGTTATGGTGGTAGGAATCTGTATGGACTGCCAAATATCAATCCCATGCATAAAACGCATCCATCATCGTGCACAGTACTCTTGCAGGCATTGTCTGTAAGGGGAAAGTGTTCTCCACTCCTTCCTTCACTGTTGAATCTCCCACCCTCCCTTTGCCAACTCAAGTTGCGTACATGTACTCCGAGCCGCCAAAATAGTCTCTATGAGAAGCCTGAGGCAAGGACCTTGTTGACATTGAGTGGAAGCATGGAAGGCAGCACATGGGGTTAAAAAAATGACATACGTATTTTTTGTTTGCTGGTTTTACTTCAAAATGGTAAATTTTAGACCAGAAAGAGACAAGTGGACCCGATGTATATTTAAAAACAAAGCAAAACACAGACCTGGGGATTTTTTTTTTTGTCTTAAAACGGGCATCTCCGTGTGTATTTAATAATCCTGAATAAATATGCACCAGTTTTACCAGTAACTTATTGAAATACTCTGCTCTACCAGTTTGTCACATGGTATAACCAGTCACCAAGACAAAGCAAGTCCTACAGGGTAATAAAGGTGGAAAACATCTGGATACATTAACCCAGCCCAGGGATGACAAACCCTCCTAGCACTCCAGCTATTTAAAGACTACGCTTCCCACAATGCTCTTCGCTCACGAACAAAACAAAACCTAATTTCACATCTCTTCCCTGAGCATGCTCACTGCATCTCTACAAATGTGCGCCATCTTCTCCTCTGTCATCCTCTCCTTAACATGGCATCCTTGGATGCACAGGGGTACCCGCCATTAGCCCGCTCCCCTCCCCCCCCCTCTCACTCCTCCCTCAGGTGTGACCGAGCACTGCCGATCCCAACCAGCCGGCCGTTACAGGATGCCCTCTAAGGGGGACCTGTCTCGCGGCAAGCAGCGAGGCGCGCGTAAACCCTGGCACGAGGGGCAGTTTATTTTATAAAGAGCGCGAGACCCGGGCGCGGCATGTTCCACTCTGCACCGTGGGGGGAAATGCCCCCGTGTGGAACAATGTAATGCGGGAATGTAAAGACCCTTCTTCCCGCCACCATTACAAGAAAGAAAAGGGGGGAGCGTGGGTGAAAAACACCGTCACCCGAGCCTGGGATATATCTATACAATACACGCTGTCCTCCCCTCTAGCACCACAGTAGAACGGTCTAACCTAGCGCTTCGTACATAACACAGAAAGGATGAAAGCCGGGGCCGCCCGCATCTTTAAAGGACCACACACCTGTCAACTTTATCTCTTGTCCGACTCTGTGAGGATTCTTCTCCGACCGGAAGTGACGTCACTACTACACGCAGGAGAAGGGAAGGGGCGGGAAAACGCGCGCGCACCTGTATAGGGGGAGGGGAGGATGCCGCCATATTGTGGTTGGCACGAAAGCAACCAATTAACCCGTAGTTAGTACCACAGTTAGGGGCCCCACTCGCCGAGAGACAATGCCTCGGGTGCACATCTGGCTTTCAAAGGGTTATGAGTAAGACGGTTGTTTTTTTAATTGAGCGTGGAGGAGGGGCTTTTCTGTCAGTCTGCCCGCTCTCCAGGCTATAGCTCCATCATGCCTTCACCACGTGCAGAGAACAAAGAAGGGGCCCAGTGTTAGGACTGATACCTGGTGTCATGGCAGAGATTTCAGCAGGATCTTAGCGGTTGTTACATTTAGATGTCAACAATAGAAAAATATTTTTGAGGGACATTTATTTAGAAGACACGCAGGGTTGTTCGCTGTAGTGTCAATTGTCAACAATTTAAAGAGAAACTGAAATTTTGGGCCACAATAGCCAAACTGGAAAATTCTTGAAGACAGTGGGGGTTTTTTTTTGTTTTGTTTTTTTAGATATTCACATTGAATTCACAGTTTTAGTAAATAACATACTGGAGCATTGCTCGCGCCCTGAAACAGTGTCCAAAAGTCAGTTCATGTTGCGGATTGTACCTTCATTATTGCCCTTTCATTGTACAAATCAAACAGAGGCTGCGCAAAATGTTGCTATGTACACAAGGTGCTACCAAAATTTATTGGAGGACAAAATAATAAACAAACGTTTCCGATACAACCCTTTTTCAATGCACCATGTCCCATGTCGCCCTTTCATTGTAGTAATTACACCCCCACTACCTTCCTCTTTAATATGAGCATCCATCATTATGAAAATTATAAACCGGTGTAAGGGAAAAACCTACACCTATAAGTGGAATAAACTTACCACACATTACTTGGTTAAAAGTTTGGTGTGAAGTACATGTAAAAGAACAAAAAACAAAAGGTACAAAATAGTGCAGATGGTACTTAAAATAGAACCTAGTATATAATATTGCAATCAGGACACTCACATTTAACTCCCTAAGGACACATGACGTGTGACGTCATGATTCCCTTTTATTCCAGAAGTTTGGTCCGTAAGGGGTTAAAGGAGCTGCGTAATCAAGCTGATGTGCTTTTATGGCAGCACCACCCCTCCGCTTCGTTGTGGAATGATTCTCATGAATAAAACACAAGAGAAACAAACCAATGTGTAGCCTGTTAAACTGGAAGGTGGAAAAGTAAACAACGAATAGGCTTCTTCTGAGCCTAGTGGTCCTGGCTCTGAGGTGTGCAGGTACTGTGCCAATTTTGGTGGGGATGGCACTACCCCTGTGAAGATTCCTAGAGGCTCCAAAAATGACTTCAATAAAATTTCTTGGATAAAATAAAATAACAAAATGTATTTAAATGTATACAATGACAATATAAAATCAATAAGTGACACTGTAACCGAGAAAACTTGTAGAAGCCAGACACAGAGAGATGGATGCAGGTTTTCAGGAAGTAAGAGGTCTTTATTAACATACCGATCGGGTCTCAGATGAACTAACGTTCCAAAACAGTTCTGAGGGCCGAACACATGGAGTACGTGCTTTTTATAGAACTATAACTCCTCCCATTAATAGCTCCACCTGCACATACCCTTAACCAATCGGTGGACAGGATTTGGATTTCCTTATATGGGCAGACCACATGGCTCATCCGAAACAAAGGAGAAAGGAATGTGATTTCATTTCCTGCATTCCTGCACATGCTCAGTACATTGATGACAGTATCTTAGCTACGTGTAACTAACTAACTGATACAACATACACATATGCCACGTGGAAATCTCGGCCTACTAAATTTACATTTCACCGAAATTCCATCACATTCCCCCCTTTGATGCCTCTGATACAAAATTATTCCAGATGCATCACCAATCATAGTTTACCAACACCTCTCAAGTAGCCATGGACCAGAACAGACCTTGTAAGCATCTTAGCATCATCACAAACTCCTTCAGCATTCCTCATCCTGAATATGTTCTCTTTGGGCTAGGGATTCATATCTATAGACAGCCATTACATGAGCAGCTGTCTTTCTTTCTATAGTACTCTCTATGATACTAAGTATAGATCTGACCACTAATGGAATTAGGCAGGGCAGAAAGAGACATAAGAATATAATGAATACTACTCCTCCTACTAACGCCTTAATCCCTCCAAGTTGCTCATACCAACTTCCAAGCCAACTACTAGGATTATACCCATTCCAGACCTGAGTAGGTACATGCGTCAGTTTAACCATGTGGCTTGTTAGTTCAGCCACTGCCCGCCCTTCATCATCTATGTGCAAACAACAGTTACTGAGATTAAACATTCCGCATACACCTCCCTCTACTGCTAATAGGTAGTCCAGAGCAAATCTGTTTTGATATTTCTCATCCGAGCATTTTGCTTAGCTAGAAGATTAAGTGCTTGAGCTGTCTCATTAATGATAATCTCAACCACCGCCTGTAGTCTTATAATACGGTTAAGCATATATATTGGGGTTCTATATCCATAGGTTCCATCTTCTGCCCAAGTAGCAGGTCCATAATAATTAATAATGTGTTGGGGAGGCCACTCATCATCTTCCCAGCTACCTATATTCAAGGATGCTCGCTTCTTTTTATGATTTACATCATAAACCTTAACTCCCAAGGTCTCTCCTGTCTCAATTGGCAACAAGAAGAAGGATGGTTTGAGCATACCTAATACACATGCCCCTTCCCAATCTTGTGGTAACTCTGAATATGCTTTCTTACCACAGATCCAATATAAATTCGCTGGGGCTTTCCAATTGGATGTAGCAGATAAGTCAAACCATACCTCTTTTAAATGGGTGTAATTGGCAAACGGATTAGTAGGCTCTGAGACATTTGAAGCTGACCACCAAGTAGTATCTTTAGTATCGGCATTATAGGCTTTCTGTCCTAGACATATTAACTCGCCAACAAGTGTGGTAAACAATGGCCCTTTCCTGGCTAAACATACATGACCTATAATAGAGGTTTTTAACCGCCACTCTGATTTACCTATATTACTTACTTGATAATCAGACTGAGAAAGTATTTGTTGTTCATCTGTCTCAGAACCAGGGTACCATACTTCCTTTGCCTCCCATGGCCACTGGTCTCCCATATTAGTACTGCCACATACAAAGCAATTAGTTACATTAAGATTACCCGCAATACTCTCAACCAAATCAATAAATAGGTTCTTAACATTATGGGGAATTTTATCCATCAACACTCATCTCCTCATAGAAGGAATGAAAAATGAGTTTGAGTTGCTATCGTCTCAATTTCAAGTCCTACATATATTATGGTCCCTGGATCTACTCCTGTACCATATATTTGGAACCCAAATAGATTTCCAAACTTATCAATAAAATGTTGTGGATTAGAGATGGTCATATGGACAGGATTACATTCCATAGACTTACAGTGTGGTGTAGTGGGCAACCTTTGGATAATCATATCTTGATCCACTGTTTTTCCCCAGGTCGCCCACCCTACACAAGACCAATATGGACAAAAATTAAAATCCCTATTTGGGCAATTAGGATCAGTAGATCTTTTACTGGGACATAAATATTTATCATTAAACCCATAAATTCGTTCCCATTTAAGATTACCACATACATTCCAAGGTTTTCCACTACCAGTGATCGCCTTACATGCATCAAATAGTAGAATGCCAGTAGAATGTATGGTATTTATCACAGTCCTATTTATCAAGGTCCCCTGGGAGTTACTGTTCTGAATTACCAACCAAATTGTACGGGGTTGGAATTGGGGATCAAAACATTTAGGCTCTCCTGATATTGGTTTGCACACACTGTAATCTATATCTAAATATCTACACTTAGATACAGATCCCTTACACTCATACTGTGAGTGCCAAATGAGAGTTTGGGATATTTGGTTACCTGTTTTCGTAGTCTTAATGCAGCTGACACAACTCTGTATGTCCTCACCTTTACCTTCCTGAAAAATCACAAAAATGCCTAAACACATAATATAACATATTATTTCAGAAGTCCTCATTTCTACTCTTTGACCGTGCGACGGCACCTCAGCTTCCCGATTGTGAGGGCTGCAAGGATTGTCGTTCTTCTGATCCTCACTTTTCTTCACAGAGGTCCCATCGAGACACTCTGACTATGACACGTAGGTAGGTGGTCAGGCTTTATTATGGCCGTCAAAACACCTACTTGCTGATATCTGCTGTTACTTTCAACTAAGATGTCCCAATATCTCCTCGTATTATTTCTCACTCCGACTGAGTTACCCGCTTTAACCGGATCTTGCAAGGATTTTCAGAATCTGGAATAGCTTGCCAAGAATCTGCCGCTGGTTTAACCCTAGAATGATGAATCCACGGAGTCACTTCTGCCACCTTTACAGCTGTTGGAGTAGAAAAAAGAACAACATAAGGACCTCTCCACTTTGGACCTAATGGAACAATATTCCATTCTTTTATCCACACTTGATCTCCTGGTTGATAGGAATGAACAGGTGGATATATGTTCACAGTTAACCTATCTTGCACCCATTTCTGTACTTCCTCCATAGTTTTACCCAACTCTACAACCTGCTGCCAAGTAATTCCTTCACCCAACTGATTCAAGTCCCCCCTTAGATTACTGAGTATGGGAGGTGGACGCCCATACACAATTTCAAAGGGAGACAGACCCATTCTTCTGGTAGGAGTACTACGTATCCGCAACAGAGCTATTGGCAAAAGGACATTCCACTTGAGCTGAGTTTCCTGACACATTTTAGCCAATTGGGTTTTTATTGTTCTGTTCATCCTTTCCACCTTTCCAGAACTCTTAGGTCTATATGCTGTATGAAGTTTCCACTTAATACCAAGCACATGAGTCAATTGTTGTAAACACTGATGGACAAAGGCTGGACCATTGTCTGATCCGATAGAACACGGAAGTCCATATCTGGGTATAACTTCTCGCAACAGAAATCGTACAACTTCTCCTGCCATTTTTGTACGAGTTGGACAAGTTTCTACCCAA